GCCGATCTCAGTTGGGCACCGAGTCAGAGCAGTATGGTATGTTACCAGTCGTGTGAATCGGCCCCTGATTGGCATCCCGAGCAAACCAGAATTACCGCTAAACCACAGTAGGCAAAATGAGTATCTCCGTAAAACAGCCCACCCGAACATAATTTTTTTTTCGGTTCCCTTTTTCTTCCCCTCCATTCGCTTTTTTTCTTCTCCTTCTTCTCTCTCCTTTTCTCACTCCTCCCCCTCTTCCTCTTCTCACACCTTTCTTTTCCTTTGTGTTTATCTCTTTCTTGTTCTATATTTGTGTTTTTTTGATACCCTGTGGGCTGTCTGTTTGTGTGCAGTCAGCTCATTCACTCCTAGGACCTTCTGAAACGAAGGTGCTGGTCTTGTCTTGCACAAGGCTATTTTTCTCAAAACATTGCAAAGAAAAAGTAGAGTTGCTCAGTCCGTCATGGATCAACAACGCTTTTTGCAGCAGCTTCAGATCGTCCTGAACCGTGAGTATTGCACCCTGCCTTTTGATTATCTTACGGAGAAGGCATTGCTGACTCTTTATTTCAGCTTCCCAGGGCAATGTCAAGGAAGCGACGGGCGTTCTCCAGCGCGAGTTCTACAAGAGCCCCGAATCTCTCGTTTTCCTCATCCAAATCGCCACCGGCCATGAGGATCCGAACCTGCGGCAGCTGGCGGCCGTCGAAAGTCGGACGCTGGTTGTCAAGCACTGGGTTTCCGTTCAGGCAAGCCAGAAGCCCCAGATTCGTGAACAGCTTCTGCGTGCTGCAGTTGGCGAGAGCTCTTCTCTCGTCCGCCACTCGGTTGCTCGTGTCATCTCTGCCATTGCTAAGATCGACCTGAACGATGGCGAGTGGGCTGATCTGCCCAACTTCTTGCTCCAGGCCGCTAGCACCGGTAACAAGGAAGAGCGTGCCGTGAGCATCTACATCCTGCTCACCATCCTGGAGACTCTGGGCGATGCCTTTGAGGAGAAGTTTGATGAGCTCTTCCAGCTTTTCAGCAAGACCATCAGTGATCCCGAGAGCGAGGAGGTGCGCATGAACACCCTCATGGCCTTGAGCAAGCTCGCCATGTACCTCGACTCGGAGGAGAGCGTCGAGCCTGTGAAGGCTTTCCAGAACCTGATCCCCTCTATGGTTGCCGTCCTTAAGGATGTTATCACTCGTGAGCAGGACGATGGCATCATGCAGGGTTTCGAGGTCTTCCAGACTCTTCTGGGCTGTGACCCCGCTTTGTTGACCGTCCACCTCAAGGACCTCGTTATCTTCATGAATGAGCTGGCCGGAAACGTGGAGCAGGAGGAGGATGTCCGTACCCAGGCCATCAGCTTCCTCATGCAGTGCGTTCAGTACCGCAAGCTCAAGATCCAGGGTATGCGCATCGGTGAGCAGTTGACCCGCACGGCGCTGCAGGTCGTCACCGAGCTCGGAGATGCTTCCCCTGCCGATGATGACATTACTCCTGCTCGTTCTGCTCTTGGTCTCCTTGACATCCTCGCACAGAGCCTGCCTCCCAGCCAGGTTGTTGTGCCTCTGCTTCAGACCCTGGGACAGTACTTCAACAACGGTAACCCCGACTACCGCCGCGCTGGTATCATGGCTCTGGGCATGTGTGTCGAGGGTGCTCCCGACTTCATCAGCACTCAGATGCAGGAGATCTTCCCCATGGTCCTGCAGCTGCTGGCTGACCCCGAGCCCAAGGTTCGCCAGGCCTCTCTGCACGCCGTCGCTCGTTTGGCCGACGACTTGGCCGAGGACCTCAGCCAGGAGCACGAGAGACTCATGCCCCTCCTCTTCAAGAACTTGGCCAGCGCCATGCAGGAGTACAAGGGTGAGGAGGATGGTCCTACCGTTGACATCATGAAGGCCGGTATCAGTGCGATTGACGCTGTTGTCGATGGTCTTGATGAGAAGGACGTTGCCCCTTACCAGGGTGAATTGGTCCCGATCCTTCACAACCTGTTCAAGCACCCCGACTTCCGTATCAAGGGCTTGGCTGCTGGAGCTCTGGGATCTCTCGCCTCCTCCGCTGGTGACTCTTTCCTCCCCTTCTTCGACGACTCCATGCACCTCCTCCAGGAATTCGCTACCGTCAAGGACAGCGAGGAAGAGCTCGACCTTCGTGCCAGCGTCACTGACGCCATGGGTGAGATGGCCGCTGCTGCCGGTCCTGAGCGCTACCAACCTTATGTTGAGCCCCTCATGCGCGCCACTGAGGAAGCTCTTCACCTCGGTCACTCCCGCCTCAAGGAGAGCACCTACATCTTCTGGGGTGCCATGTCCAAGGTTTACGTTGAGCACTTCTCTCCCTTCCTTGATGGAGTTGTCAAGGGTCTTTTTGCTTGCATTGAGCAGGATGAGACTGATCTGGATGTCTCGCTTGGTGCCGCTGCCAAGGATCTCATCGGTCAGGAAGTGACCATTGGTGGCCGCAAGGTCCGTGTTGCCGATGCCGATGATGATGATGACGAGCCCACCGGAGAGGATGGTGATATCGAGGATGTTGATGTTGACGATGAGGACGCTTGGGATGACATCACTGCCACCACCCCTCTGTCCTTGGAGAAGGAAATCGCCGTCGAGGTGATCGGTGATCTTGTCACTCACACCAAGTCTGCTTACCTTCCCTACTTTGAGAAGACCATTGAGATGGTTCTTCCCTTGGCTGAGCACCCCTACGAGGGTGTCCGCAAGAGCACCATCAGCACTCTGCACCGCTCCTACGCCATGCTGTACTGCATTGCTGAGGAGAGCGGCCAGATGGCCAAGTGGCAGCCTGGTCTGCCCCTTCAGGTCCAGCCTGCCAAGGAGGTCCAGAAGTTTGGTGAGATTCTCATGACCGCCACTGTCAAGATGTGGACTGAGGAAGACGATCGGTATGTATTCCAAAATTTTCTTTCTTCAATGCCTATTCATGCCCGCCCTCGGGCTATCTTAAATGATGATCACCACGTTTACCCAGCTCACTCCGACACGCAAAAGTCGTGCATGATGTGAAACACGTTTACTCACAACCTTCTGATATTTATCTACACATTCGTTCTGCTGTATGATTTCATCATGGTTACAAAAGCTAACCAGAAGACAACTAGTGCTACTGTCGCCGACATCAACCGCAACATGGCTGAGAACCTGCGTTACTGCGGTCCTTCCTTGATCTCGAACGAGACCACCCTCCACAACGTGATCACCATGATCACTGACATCATCACCAAGAAGCACCCTTGCCAGCTCGAGTTCGGCCCTGAAGAGGAGACCCTCGAAGCCGGTGAGGAGACTTCTGAATTCGACTGGGTTGTTGTTGACACTGGTCTTGATGTTGTCTCTGGTATGGCTGCCGCTCTTGGCGCCAGCTTTGCCGAGCTGTGGAAGGTCTTCGAGAAGACTGTCATGCGCTATGCTGGCAGCACCGAGGCTCTTGAGCGCGCCACTGCTGTCGGTGTCATTGCCGAGTGCATCAACGGCATGGGTTCTGCTGTCACCCCCTACACCGCTAGCTTCCTGAAGCTCCTTGTCCACCGCCTTGGTGATGAGGATACTCAGACTCGCTCCAACGCTGCCTACGCCGTTGGCCGTCTCGTCGAGCACTCCGAGGCCAAGGACCAGATCGTTAAGGAGTTCCCCACCATCCTGTCTCGTCTGGAGCAGTGCCTTCACATGAACGTCTCCCGTCTTCAGGACAATGCCACTGGCTGCCTGAGCCGCATGATCCTCCGCCATCGCGAGAACGTTCCCATCAAGGATGTCCTTCCTGTCCTTCTCACCATCCTTCCCCTCAAGAACGACTATGAGGAGAATGATCCCCTGTACCACATGATCTGCCAGCTTTACAAGTGGGAGGACCCCACTGTCCGTGAGCTCACCCCTCAGCTCGTCCCCATCTTCCAGGCTGTTCTCAGCGACGAGGACCAGCTGGAGGAGGAGCGTCGGGCCGAGCTCGTTGAGCTTGTCAAGTGGCTGAACCAGATGCAGCCTGGTGCTGCCCCTTGGGCTGACCAGCTGTAAAGGCAATGAAAAAACAAAGGATGGATGACGACAGTTTGATGACCAAATACTACTTAATGGATAGATCGGGTCTCTCTACGAGGACTCTTATGGACGACGTTAGAAGATACCCCTGGGGAGCCAATGAGCGATGAACCCACAACTTATAGAATATGGCTGGACATGCTATGAATTATGAACAAAAGTGGTGTATATATTTTATGAGTTAAATCGAATTCCGATTCGTATGTTCAATTTGCCTTCTGTAATATCGCCTTCGTAGTTTCTAAATGATAAAAGACTGCCTCACTTTCGGTGGCGTATTCGAGTCTATTCCCCTGATACGCTATGTGCTATGTCTTATGCTCCACGATGCTGGTTGGTGTTCTCTTTTTCAAATTGTTCTAAATTTCTCAGAAGAGCCAAACATCGAACTCCTTTTCATGGCCTTACTGCTTTTCTTCCCATTTGAAGTCAAGTACTGACACCTCTCTGTGCGATGAAAGTGATCTTTAAAATAGTAGGTCATACAACTCCTTGTTTCTCTTTGTGAGAGTTTCGATATATCTTGGTGGTAATGGGGAGTTGGCCACACGCATCTTCGCACTTTATTTTCCGCATTGTCGATGCGCCCCATGTTCATGGCAAAGCCCTATCACTGCCTACAATAAAGAACGATGCATTTATTTTCCATGAATGTCTAGGTATTCATGACGCCTCTCGCATGACCTACCCGATCCTGTCGACGTCATGTACACATATCGCTCACACTTGAAGCCATATCATTACGTAGAGATGTTATATAGCTACTCCAGCTATGGATGATAGTGTAAGTCAACCGATCAAATACTTCCCTTTCCAACGCAACTATTCCCACCATTAGTTAACACTTCCTACTAGTTATGCCCCTAGAAGGCAAGAAAAATGTCCACTACTTTTATATCATTCCCACCCATACCCGAAGCCATTCAAGGGCCCCCAAAACCCACAAGAATGAAACATCTAACAATGGACCTCCTAGCCAAGCTCGAGATACTAGCTGTTACAGCCAACAACGAAGACAACGGCATCATCCTCGAAACTGCCTCGAACGACCAGTTCTACAACTACACAACCCAACCCCCCACCACCCCCACCCCCAGGGACAAGAACTCAACCTTCCTCGTCAAGCTCGAAGGACCTTTAAGCACCCCATCTCAAGTCCAAGAGCTGTCCAAGTCCCTCACAATCCTCATACTTAAAGAAGGAGTAGGCGAAACCTCCACTGCCAACTTCTGCCTCATCACCGGCGCCATGAAGCTCAATATTGTCTCCGCTCTCGCAGAGAGTACATTCTCCGCAACATTTGTTCGAATCAACCTCTCCCCGAAAGATCTCTATGCACATAGCATCGCCCCAACCCTGGGTAGTGATATCGACCCTACCCTTCCGCAGAACCGGGCTACTGATGCGGGTGAGGTGTTTCTTCCGAAGCAGGGCGAGTACCCCGTGTGGTAATTCTTTTATGGGAATCTGGCTGTGCCGGAGATTCTAGCTGAAAGGCTGGGGTTGGATGAGAGCCCGATGTATCGGAAGGCAGTGATTAAGGGAGGGATTTTGAGGACTTGGGGAAGAGGGAAGTTTAAGGCTTTGGTTGATGGAGATGCGTCGGCGAGAGTAGAGGGGTGAGCGTATGAAGTGGGATCTGAGGAGAATGAGGAGATATTGAGGTATTATGAGACGGACTGCTATGAGGTGGTGAGGTGTGAGATTTGTATGGTGGATGTTGGAGAGGTGGTTAAGGGGTTGGTGTTTAGGTTTGTTGGGGAAGTTAATTAGGATTTGCTTGGGTTTTTGGTTACTTGTATTTTTTCTCTCTCGAAGTAAATATTACCACCACTACTACTCTCCTTCTACTCGACTGATTGAAAATCTTGTTACTTGTATTCTTGGGGTATGATTTCTCCACGTGTTTGTGACGGATTTGACCCTGCCTACTTGCCCGTCTAGGTATGCGGTGTTGGAAGGTTTGATATAACCAAGCAGGGAAGGAATCCCTTAGTGTTAACAAGAACGATAAATAGCGCCCATGTGTCTAGCCCGTCCTACATATCACGCTGAGGTCACGACGTCACTATTAGAGGCTCATTACTTGTCCTATCAGGTACAATTTACACATAATCACATCATTGTGACTGTCGACTGCCCAGAGAATACTTCCCTCTGGCGCACAATCGTTCGCTTCCATCCGACTTCTCATTCCGCAGTTATCTCCTATCAGCTTTGTGAGAAGATTCGGAGCCAAGTACTTCGTCATAGTCTCCACCATCTCTGCTGTCCGTGGCACTGTCTACATTCTTTCTCCGTCCCTTGATTCTCTTCTTCGGATATTGAAGATTCAGATTGTCTTGTCACCCTGGAAGGACATCTTACCTTTGACCAAGCCGAGGCGGCTACAATGGCCTCTGCAGACAATTCCAGTCAACGTAAAGCAGCTATTCCAAGCCCTGCGCGCGAGCTTTTTGAACCAAAGCGGCATGGCCTGATCGCACAGCTGGTATGTGCTGCAAAGCTTACCAAGCTTGATTCAATCACCTGGGCTTGTTTGTGGTTTGCCGACCTCTCGAAATTAGAAAGTTTCGTGCCATCCTGTGAATGGAATCACCGTACGGTTATATAGTGCACCACGATCTCTCGAAGAGTGAGGATAAAACACAAGTAATTGATGCCTGTCAGTGGGTTGTGATATAATGCAAACAGACTCAGGCTAATACACTATCAGGGGCGGTTTCACGGCCCAAAGAAGAATTGGAAAAGGCCTATGAAGACGAAGAATCAGATACCGAGGGGCCTCCGATCAAGAAGCGTCGGTTGATTCTGAACACAGAAGAGAGTCCCAGTTCTGCAGACGAAGCAGCCACTCATTTAGCCAATAAACTAGTAAGGAAACTTCACATGTGATTTGACTCGCTCGATTTCCAACTAATTTTTCCCATCAAGTGCACCGAGCGAGATAATGCCACTTGTGTGGTCACCGGCTGCCGTGATCCGGTCGAAATCGCACATATCCTCCCCAACGGTCTTGCAAGAAAGGAGACTCAAGCTATCCGGGAATTTTGGGTTCCTCTGCACCGATTCTGGAGCCAAGAGAGGGTCATGGCATGGATGAATCAGGCTGCAGGCCCAGAAGGGACAGAGACCTGCTCGAACTTTCTGTGCATGACGGATATGGCCCATAAACTATGGAAAAAAGCACGCTTTGCCTTGAAACCGCTGTCCTTGAGTGAGGATCGGAGGTCGCTTCAGGTGCAATTCTACTGGCTCCCGGTTTATAACTACCGTTCGAGGATTCCAGCAACCGAAGTCCCCCGTCGTATGTCTCGCAAGCTCTCCGGAACAGCTGTTGATGGAAAAGAAACCATGCTGTTTAATATTGCCACAAATAAGAAACTATGCTCCGGAGAGATTCTTACCTTCAAAACAAACGACCCTAACAGTCACCCCCTTCCATCCATGGAGTTGCTAGACATGCAGTGGGTCCTAAATCGAGTTCTTGCCCTCAGTGGTGCCACTTACGCCACAGACGAAGAGCTTTATCCTGATTTCTCGTCGAATGAGGGCTCATTTTGGGATAACGAGGAAGGTTTCTGATGTGCACAAGTGGAAGACTCAGGGGAAACTCTGCGGGAGAGAATAGGAAGCCATTTCAGATAACCCAACACATTGTTGTTGCTGACCACTTGAAGCAGACGCAGAAAATATTTGCATCAACAGCATAACCAGAAGCACCAATATTCCTAGCTCCAATAGTAGTTTGCACATATTGACTTCCCTACGAATTCTAGCCAGGTGGGTGTCTGCCCCGTCTACATTCCCTCATAAGTAGATTTTACCATTCAGACGACATGCCGGAGAGTGTATAGGGTGATCTTCACTCTCTGGAAGAGGCTCTGATGACAATATCTTCCGGCAGATACCGCATCGGCCACGTAGACCAGGAGGTATCCGTCACGTAAACGGACTTTGCCGTCCACATTATGAGAGACGTAGCGGCAAAAACCCTATAAAGACCTTCCAGTCTGCTACAGCTAAGGTAACTTTTCAGACAAGCAAATGCTTGACAAACAAATCTTCTCCTTTGTATCCACCACATTAATTACGAGAGATAAATAATAAGATTGGCATAGCCTGCTGCTAATTTCCTCCAGATGTCGGCAACCTAAGCACTTGTTACAATGAATATCCCAAACCTTCACTGCAGATTTCACTTATCGCCTCTATCACTCTACAAGCGTTGAATATTGCCCCCTTCAATCTGTGCCTCTTCCCTGGGCATGATATACCTTCACAGGGAACCCAAAGTTGAATACCTGATTCACCGACCTATTAACAGCTGTTCTTATAAATTGCCCCAACTTTCCCCTTCAGAGCAACCAATTCCTTTCCTACAATCTGCCAGACAGCCACAGGCCTGCCTTCTTACTATTTCTTCTAGACAACCATCAACGGATTCATTATATTATCTTGGATTTCCACATATACCATGGGAATATTAATCTACCCAGAAAGAAGTAGAAATACTTTATGAAGATGAATGCTACAGCCAACATATACAGAGGGGGAAATGGAACGTTCTTTCTCCAAAACAAACGATCCGGGGGCATTCAATACCACAGAACTAGGTAAAAGAAGAAGGGAAAAAGAAGAATATTTGCTCATCTTGAATCTAGCCAGGTACATAGCCGTCTCTGTTACCCTCTATCGCGCGTGCCAAATTGACTAGATCAAGCAGATTTTCACTGGCACAGCGCAGGCCTTAATCAATGCGATGCTGGAGATCAGCGGTGGCCCCCATACGAACGTCAAGTTCAAGACTGTGTCCTCGCTTCCGATGATCCCGACGTCCCAGTTGCTGTCGGACAGCCAATCCCGGTCCATTAGATCCCATATAGCTTATTCGGGATCGTTCTCCGCGAGAATTGTGGCCATGAACCAAATCCAGAGAATGACTTTTATGGAATGGGATGGTCCTCCTACTAGAGTAATCACTACCATTCAATGACATCAGCTGGCCGTCCTTGAGTGCAAGACAAGGCTCAATTTTACAGTCAGACTGCATCCACTATAGTCCCCACGACGCTGCTGCTGCTGCTGAAATAAACACCCAACTGTTGTACTTTACCACAGGGCCAAATACATTAAACAATTAGAAAATAAAGAAATTATAATGCCTGCAGCTTGCCTGTCCCTTTATGGTGGAGGATACAACCCTCGAACTAAGCTTGTGAGTGACCCGATTTGGCCAGATGATCTAAATCCAAGCTAATATGCATTAGGGGCTGTGCGCGCTAGAAATTCTACACGACCTGATAAAGACTCGACGGGGTCGTGTAATAGGTCATGAAGGCCCAGCACCCTCATCGATATATAAATAAAAACTTTTCTCTGATACTTGGTGGCCCGGTGAAGGTTCCACCAAGTTCTAAGCGCCTTGGAAAGACCAAGTGGGGTGTTGTACCACACTTTTCAGGTAAAAAAAACGCCTTGCTCAGTATAAGCATTGCATTGTGAGATTTAGTGTCGCAGTTTGCCCTGTCTCAGAATCAAAGGGCCTATGTCTGAGCCAAATATGGAGCTTACACAGAGAAAGGCCTATGAAACAATTCTATCATCTTCCTAAACATTACTCTGCCGCTGTATAGCACTATATACAGTATAGCAAAACAAATGGTTCCTCGGTCTTTTCTTCCAGATGGACAGGTGACGGCTAGACAGCTTCGAAAATCAGCGATGCAGTTACCGATGCATTCGAGTGCGCGGTTACGGCTTTGATAAAGTCCTCATGGAATATATCAACCATTGAGATTAGCCGGGTACAGTTTTTCTGCCAAAATCGAACCTGAAGCTGAGGGCTTACAGCTTCAGCACTAGAGTATGTTGGTCCTGAACTCATCAGATAGTACACCTGAGAATACTGTGCTCCCTGGGATTAGGGGAAAAAGTAAATACTAGTTATACTAGTAATTACCAATATGTTCCAATTTTACTCGGTCCAGGATCTGAATTGGAACACTATTCCAAGCATACCTTCTTTATCTCTAGAAGCTTGAGGGTTTATTTGAGATACCCATAATGGCCAGTGGAGTGTACGACTTGAAAGATACGGACTTACTGTCAATACTCATGCATATGATGCAAGAAGCGGCGGAGATGTCTATAATGAGTCGGAGGAGGTATAGGTGTCTATGTACAGGAGGATGATGATTTCGAATCCAGATGTCTACGGTTGCAGACGTGATTCTCCTCGGGATATGCTCATAAAATACCATCAGCTTTGATGATTCGGGAGGCACTGCAACGCGGTTCGCTCGACACTAAGCATCTATCACCTTCAAGAGCCCACCGTGAGTTTCAACCGCATCCTGGTGAAGACGATCGATTCATTCCAGGGCGGCAAGGCCGCGGTTGTAATTTTTGACACAACTACCACTGACAGACCCGGCTTTCTCAAGCAGCGTGGTCGTCTGAACATGAAGCTCAGCCAGGCACGAGCGGCAATATATGTCATCATAAATATGAAGCGGAACAAAGCGAAGCAGGAGCAGTGCAGTGTTTATACCTCTGCGAGGATAGGCCATGTCACCGTAGAAGAGGCCGACGCATGCACAACTGACCCTGCGATCTTCTTGGGTGTGAGCAATGCTATGGCCTCGTCACTCGCCGCCGATACCCGCCGCGCCATTCAAATGCAGCCTAAACACTCCAGAAAGTCAAATCGGTCATCCTGCGAGAGTTCAGGTCCCGAGTGAGAGACAAAATGCCAGCCCTTTGAAAGTGGTGTACCGATGGAAGACAATTATAGACATCTGCCAGCAGGAGCGAGTCCACAACGAAGACCATAGAGGTGATATGATACTGATACATTCAGTTCAGCACTATAACGAGGACTCCTATGGCTGTTGAACAACTTTGATGTCAAAGCCCTCCCGGTTCAAGCCCTCTCAGCAAGCTAGCGATGCTACAGTTGGCTGGAAAGATCTCTGAGGGTTGAGGGGAACACAAGCTTGACAAGATATGTCAGAAGTCCAAGACCAATTGTGGTGGAGAGGCGAATCTTCCGTTCACTTGAATGCTTCATACATCGCCTACGCAGGGCAGTTGAAGCCCTCGATCCCTTGACCCCTTCCGTGCGTGTGACCTTGCTCTCGAATTGTGTGTCCTGCTTGGCTCGAGCTATTCCTGGTCTCTCAAACTCGCGAAAATAATCTTGCAATGTATAGTGAGATTAGGGTTCCAGCCATGCAACAGCAAGAAGTCATTCTACGTAACTCATCTCGCCAAGACCTCCCAGGCACCAGATGGTCGCTCAATCCATTCCATGGTACTCCTTGAATAGGTCAAGACCATGTGGCTATGATACATTCGCATTGATAACGAGTACTATCATCAGCGGTTCCATTTCCCTTGGTTAATTCATACAGGAATCCCAATGGAGATGCCTTGCGTCAACACCCGCGAGTCTCAATACACTCAATGCATACTGTTATCTGAAATATGCGACAGGCACCGCTTTTTGTGTGTTGATCAGCGTCAATACAACAATTACAGTCTCAAGCACCACTTGGTTGCTTGCCGACACACTCTTGAAAGCCTTGGATAAACGAGGCTTTTAGTGAGACTAAGAGTGTTGCTCTCAGTGAAAGAGCAGTACTTCCAATTTTGCTGAGCCGATTTGGAGATTTGTCAAGATCACCGCAGCACTAATAGCATCCAAACCGGGCACAGGCAAACCGAAGAATTAGTTTTGGCAAAGCCAATGCTCATTCCGCAAATTCTGCGTCGTAAGAAGAGAAAGACATTTCTACTTCCACTTCTTCTAAGCTAAAGAAAGCCAACCCTACCTGTGCTAGTACCAACTCACGCAGCAGGTTTTGCTGTAATGAAGCTTTAGACTGGAACTTTCAGTTCAAGTTCTTCAAGACTGGAAACGAAGAGCTTACGTCCCTACGAAGTGTAGCCGTTCTATTGCACGCCCGTTTGACGACTACGTTCCGATGCTACATCCGGCTATTCGACCAGTCCAACCCCGACTGTGTCTGTGGACAATGAAAATGAAGAACCATAGTTATCTTTTTTCTGAATATATGGAATATGAACTGGAACATGATATCAGAGATAGAATAGAAGTTAAATATGCAGATAGCGGGGTAAGCAAAATAATACCATGACCTACTCTTTCAGTGGTCTGAAAGCATACTAAATTCTATAGACGCCCGATGATAGTGACTCACTTGTTAATTTAATATATGCCTTGAACGATTTGCAGTTCCTCAATGATCAATTACAAAGTTTCAGTGGAATCTTGGAATGTGCATTCGCATTCGACCCCGCGGACTCGCTATCTGACTACTCTCAGAATCAATGTACATGGGACTCATGCATCATACATATCCGCTGTTATATACTACTGTGACGCTCACTGATATAACCCGTGTATCTGTGCCTATTGTTGCAGATGACAATACTACTATTAATAATATCTGGCTAATCATACCGGATATTCAGATATTTGCTGTTAGACATGTTTTGAATGCACTGAATTATTTGTTTATTCTCTGGTCTTTGTACTGTCAATATAGAGAATCTCCAGATGATAATAACTAAGTAGTCTCAGACAAGTTAATGTTACTTAATTTAGGCTATAATATCAGCGAGTTGCATACTGAGTGGACTGAAAAGGAGGATGATAATAATTACAGAATTGAGTATTATCATATTGTTTTCCACTGCCTGAAAACCTGGAATCTACCAGCTCTGAATTATCAATATATAACACTACATGGTGTCTACTTGTCTAGCTTACTGTCGTCGGTACTTAATCTTTGGTATATTTAGCTAGAACTGCTAATAGATACTACAATAATGAACAGAAGTCTGAAGTTATAGGTATAATTCAGCTCTAGCGTTGCTTATGTGCCTTCTTCGCCTCATTGATGAGGCGCTTGATGAGGGTGTTGCCGACACGTAAGTATGTCAAGACGAAGGGGCAAATTCTATCTAGTTCTCTAGAAGATGGTTTGTGGTTGGGTTGGTTGGAAGAGGTGGTAGTCAGAGGCCACGCAGGAAGAAGAGGCGAAGGATCAGCTGACAGCTGCCTGGCTGCAGTGAATGTCTCAACAAATAATCATAAAAGACAGCACCCTAGGTCAGCTGTGGTAGGCCTAACTTGGGCTCAGACTAATGTGGATATCAGAGTTTGGACGGACGAAAATCCGGTGTCAGAGCTTAAGCAGCTCGGAAGCTCGGCCTAATTTCTTGTTGTATACGCGGAGGCCCAGCGGTAGAAACTCTAAGCCAAGTTGCTGTCCGATCTGCACTTGGTTTGCACAAGCCGCTGGTTTTTACATTGCATGGGTCTGAGGGAGTGCCAATTTAACTGAACGCTTGGAACGATAAAAGTATGCCAGTTCAGCTTGCAGTGCGACATATTCGATACTTAAAGCCGACTGGCACGTCGTGTTGAGGCACAAAGCTCATGGAGTTATATTTAATTCTTTGCTGTCAAAGTCGGATCCGCAACTCTCTGATCATATTGTCCAGTCATGCAATCATCTACAGTTGACCTGCTGTCTACAGACCTGTTCAAGCATCATTATGAGGATGGCCCTCGGGATGCTCATCTGGAACGCTCGTATCTCCGGGCCAAGGCCTTTGCTCGATTCTGGCGTAGGTCTTTAGTTTGCATTTCGCTTATCCATGCAATCTGACGATCAATCTCTCAGGATTGGCCCCGGACGATGTTCTCCAATTCACACCAAAATTTCGACAGGCACACACTGACGGCATTATACTTCGGGATATAGCCGCTCAGTCTGCATTCAGTGTTCACTACAATCCGGTGGGAGGAACCATTGCCTCACTGGCCCCGAAGCGCCCGGACCTTCAGCCGTTGTTGAAACAAATCTTCGACTTTGATGTTGTGTATGTGACCTCTCAGTAGGCTACAAAGACATTGCTGATATGATTTTGAGCAGTGCTAGTTATATGATGACGGAGGCTGGGCACGGTTGCGATGCGAGAAATCTCGAAACAGTTGCCATATGGCAGTCCGATGGTAGCTTTATTCTTGACACACCAACACCTGCCGCAAGAAAGTATGGTATCATGTTCCATGTTTGAGCATAAGAATGCTAAGATGAAGAGGCTCATGCCGCCCTCTGCACCTTTTGCAGGGATACCACGTATAGCGCTTGTGCTTGCGCGCTTGATAGTCGAAGGAGAGGACCGAGGCACCCGACAGTTCATTGTTCCGCTCAACGATGGGCGACAGATGTATCGGGGAATTAAAGCATGGTTGGTACTCGTTGCGTGCACCAAAAACGATTAGTATAACAATGTTAGGGGTCTTCCAGCTCCTGGGGCCGGAAGGCTACTAGATTTCGTCCTTACCTCCTTCGATCATGTCCATCTCCCGTCGACCGCCATATTGGGAGACCTTGCAAGGCCTTCCAACATGCGTGATCAGTACCTCACTGCTGTCGATCGGCTGAGCACAGGAACACTAACTGTCAGTCTATGGACTATTCCCTTTCTAAAGGGTGCCGCTTTCACCGTGGGCAAGTACAGCCAGCGTCGCACAGTTCAGGAAGGACTTCATGGCAAAAGAGTCCCAATCATCTCTTATACAACTCAGCAGCTACCTATTGCACATGCTTTGGCTGAGGTTGCTGTACTAGACCCATTTGCGGATTGGGTCATCGAGCAACGTAGAAGCCCTTCCATTAGCCCTGGACTCAAACATGCGCTTAGTATCATCTTGAAGGTCGTCTTCGTTCAGCATGGAAGTGAAAGTCTCAAGCAGTTGAACGAAAGAAGTGGTTCCAGGGGAATGTTTCCTACCAACGGTCTCATGGAAATGGAGGTATGGTCAGGTCTTCGTATGTCTCGTACTTTGACAGGCGGCTGACACGGTCCTTCTAGACTTATGTCCGAGCTAGCGCTTCAGCAGAAGGGGAAATACTGGTCAATTCCATTCGTGTGTGATTATCCAGCTTTCATATTTTACAGTTATACTGAATGCCTTATAGGCTCTGCTACTGAGTTGCTTCTTGGCCGGTTCAGGATACCCGATGCCAAGACGCCAGACTCCCTTTTGGGACGACACGAGGCAGGGTTCATTGCGGAGATGGAAGAGTCCTTGAAGAGAGCCAAAGGTCACAGGACTCCTGAATATAACAGTCTAGTACTACCCCGTTGTCGCCCCATGCTTCTGGCTATAGGCCAACGGATGGCGTATGAGGCAGCCGTTGATGCGGGTGTTGATCCCAATTTTCTGGCGCTATATGAAGCCGGAGCGGTGAGGAATGACTCAAGTTGGTATGTGGAGCAGCTGAGGCTCAGTAGGGCATCTCAATATGATATGGAGTGCCAAGCGTGCGATAGTGTGATGTCGCAGCTAGATAGGCATTTGGACGAATTGGGTATCGAGCCATACTGCACCGCCCCGATGCTGTCACCGGCTAGATGGGAGACTTTCATCAATACCTGCCCTATATATACGGGAGACGCAGTCCCTAGCCTGGATTATGGAGGTAGCCGAGAGCACAGACTTTGAGAGTATATAGCATCCCACAATCTGACTGATTACTGCGGGTGAAGCTGAGAGAACAGTGGACGGAAGTAGACGGATGAAGGAGTCAAAGTGGAAGTGGAGAAGAAATGGGCGGTGGATCTTTGCTGCCTGAGCTGATCGGCTCGGCTAACCCCAGAAGGGTCTAGTGGGTCCTGAGCTGGTCAGTGACGTTGATGGCGTCTCTCTCTTCTGCCTCGACTTTTGGCTCATCTCTGGTTCTTGGTCGGGCTTCGTTCCTGATCCTTTCTTCTTCTCAAGTGAAATACAAGAGTCGACTCTCATCCTAATATTCTACAACTACAAATCCTCAAAACTCAAACGCACTTCACGATGGCTGCCTCGTCCGTTTCCTCCGCTGTCAACTTCACCCTTCCTTCCTCCAGTTCTGGCTCTTCCATTAAGCGACCTATCAAGACAGTCTCTAAGCCTTGTTTTGGCTGCGACTGCGGAGATGAGGAATGCGATTGTTGCGTTTGCACTGTGATGTGGTATGTCAATCAAAAACCCGAGTTTACAACAAGCATCATTAGTAACTCCCATTTTTGCAGAACCAACGCTCGCTATTTTTCTGGCCATGTCTATAGCGTCCAAATGGCCCGTGGGCTATTTGCCCAATTTGATGATACATACGACTTTCATTGGGCGCACTCGGGAGTTTGTCATGGGCTGTCGGAGGCAGGACGTACATCCATCACTGATGCCACCCCCTGCCATCCACGTTGATACATTTTGATTTGGCTATAGCAAAAGTCTTAGCACAGAATAATTGATCTGCTTCGAAATTCCATCTTCCAAGCCGGGCTATCCAGAACTTGCTCTCATCCCCTTATTAGTGGTTGTAAGGTTTACGGCGAGCCTCACGGTCAAGGCCCTGGATACTTTGATGCATATCTTACAATATTTTTGAATACAGGCTGAATATGAATGGAATTTTCATATATTTTCCTGCCGTATGATTCCTTGAGATGTGATACCAACTAGACAACAGCAGGGGACCCTAGACTAGCGCCGTCCGGATGGTCTAAGGCTAAGCAACGATGGGTTTAGCATGCCTGTCCAGCCACAATAGGCTGCATACGCGAGTCAGTATTAGACATCTTGTGAGGGGAAACAGTTTGACCCCAGTTCTGACAACCATAACACCCTTGGGGCAGCATCCGCCTCAGTTGCTTGCGCTCCACGTATCCGGAGCTACATCTTCCACGCAAGGATGCTACCTTCACGCATCGGATTTTCGCATAGTCAGATAGCAAATCAGCCATAGAGTACTTGAGCTTCTCAAGCATACATGTGATCAGGTTTAAGCGGGAAATACTTCCGCCCCGTTGTCTCGAGATAAGCCACATTCCCAAGCGCCGACGGATCTAAATTTGGGTGGTCCGAACGAACTAAGCAATGCGCTAACACTACCGCCGTCTCAACTACTGCATGATATAACGAAGCAATGCACTTTTTGGGTAAAGCACGTTACACTGGTGCAAGGCTATAGGAGGGGAGGTGGCTATTCTGACTGGTTTGGGTGAGGGGAAAAATATGGACAGAGCACAGCCGCAGAATAACAGTTTCTTGATTTGCATAATCATACTCAGTGGCCTACCTCTGAATCTGCCTTGCTTATCCCTGCCATGGCTGGTCTATATGAATCACCCACAGTCCCTCTTTGTCGATCTGCCCATTCGCGAAGATTCAACGCTATTTTCCGACACAGAGACAACTATGACATCTCCCTTCTCCACTCCTTCGTTCCCTCGAAACATTCCATTATTTTCACACCTGACATCAGACGACAATGACGAGACTTCCGACTCCCCTTCACCTAACGATGTGGCTACTATCTCGAGTGACCCTGCTCGACCTACAAGCCCCGGGGATCGAAGCCCTTCAATTCAGTTTGCAGCGAGGCGGGAATTCAGACGAAGAGTGGCCTCTGTAACTTCAGCTGATCATATAGAACGCTCAGGAAACTCTACGTCACCGAAGTCTAAGACAGTACAGCAATACATGTTAGATACCGATCCAGCTGACCCGAATTTAAATGCTCTGCGGCAACTAATGGCCGGCTCTCCCTCTTCACCACCACGATCACGTGAGACACCAAGAATCAGCAGTAGCATTGTGAGTGCTGCCGTATCACCAGGAATGAATGATGTATTTCAGGATGCTGTAGAGGAGCAGATTCCGGGTCCTGCAGAGGGTGACAAACCAAAGGTTACGACAGAGGCTATTCTTTCTCACATGCACAACATCATTCGGGGTCATTACAACGAAAATAACAAGGGATATGCTTACGTCTACCGAGACAGTAAGGATGAATGTCAGCGCTTCAAGATTGGATCGACGGATCGGCCAGAAGACCGCAAAAAAGAGCTCGACAAGCAATGCAAACTCAAGAACTGGGAGTTGGTACAGGATCCTAAAATGCCTATTTGGGAGTATAAACGACTCGAAAGGCTCGCCCACAGTGAGCTGAAGAACTTCAGATGTGATGATATATGCCCCGGTGATGGTATGAAACATCGGGAGTACTTCTATGGCTCAAACGCTACTGCCTCTGAGGTCTTAGGGCGCTGGTCGCGGTGGCTAGTAGATCACGAGCCATATGACAAGAAAAGCGAGCTGAAGCCTTTCTGGTCCGATCGCCTTGAATGTTTCATGGCTAACAAAATGGCCTCGTTCTATTTCAACTGCAGGAAGGCTACATGCTCACAGCGAGTTTCCAGTCCCGTTGCTTGCCAGGAATGTCTTCAGATAGGGTGGAAAGTGTGGACAGAACCAACGACGTTAGACAAGGCTAGGTACTACTGTCCTTATTATGCCAAGGCCGTATGGGAGCGCACACCCACACTGTCAACCTGTTTTCTCCTTATCTTGTGGGGCAGATTGATTGCGCCGATGATCCTTGCTCTTTTGCATAGTTCCGAACGTCGTGGAGGGTTAATCGTGACTGACATTATTATATGCATATGCGCCCTATTCTGTCACCTTTCCCAAAACAAGGCACCACAGGGCGAATTTAAGAGGAAGTACGCCGGTAGGAGAGCTACGTCAGCTTCGGGACAATCCATTATAACGCCAGGGGTGTCCTCAACCAGACATGACCAAGAAGATAGTCCTGCTAAAAAGAGAAAGCGATTATAGCAATTTCGAACGATTCGGGAACCTCGGTCTGTCGCTGCACCAAAAGAAACAAAGTCATTCTGTCGCATATGGAATGCTCTTGGTCAGCGCATCCTGTCGGAATATTCTATGCCATGGGAAACAAGCAACTTGAGATGCGCTCGGGTCAATAACAGGGCAAGTCGGAAAACAAGGTCCGTTCGTCTTCGTAATAGGCACGATGTTGTATATGGTGATCTACGCGACACACCACTATCATCCATCCACCGTTGCAGCGACTGTTCTATGCGAAACTAGGTTGTCAAACGAACATTGGGCGACAATCATTGCGGGCTGGTGTGTAGCTCCGAGGTTATGCTGGGATACCCACCCGCGATGATGTCAATAGGGATATCCGGCCCACCCGGATGCTTGCAAGGCACGGCTGAGGAGGCTCGACCTCGCACTGTATCTGCAGATCGGGATTTGTGATATCGGATCTCACTCAGGAGCCAGGAACAGCGAGTCCCAAAAGAAACTTCCAGTTATTGTGGAGAGACCCAAGACCCTGGGTGTTGACGTAGGCGGTCCGTCACCTGACAGCCAACCCAATTGCAGCTATCTCAACTTGGGTTCCACCGGAAGGTTCGTCACAATCCTCGTCTTCTTATTCTTTTCGACTTATGAGGCGGTGGTAGCTTGTCTTTCGTCGTGGTAGGCACTCAGAATTGCGTTGTGCCGAGCAATACCACTACCTCTTTCCACGTCACCCAAAAGCGACTGGCCGAGCGACTCAAGTTGACCTTGGTTTTACTAGAAATGCAGCAACTGCGCCATAGTAGCAAACTAGCATACTTCACAATTATCAGTCAATGAGCGACGAGCATCCAAATGGCTTTGGACGGCCATTCTTCATTGTAACATGGGTCGAATTTGGTTTGGCGATCATCTTCATGATCGCTCGATGCGTTGCTGCGTCCAAACTAATTCATAATGTGGCAAAAGACCTTTATTTGGCAATAGCTACATTTGTGAGTCCTCTTCCTGAACTCACTATATTGCTGCTAACATCAGTCAATGCAACAGATTCTGGGAGCTGCAAGCATGGCGATGATCACTGTCGGGGCTACATACGGGCTTGGCCTTCCGCAGGACATGCTAAGTTTCAACGAGAGCAAGATGGCACTACTCTATGGCTGGGTTAACCAATTAATTGCCCTCGTTGCGATTGGGTTGGGGAAGCTTACCATTGTCGCGTTTCTCGAACAAGTCCAAGGCTATCAAACCAAAGCCAGAAGCATATTTCTCTGGTCTTTGGCAGGCAGCAACCTCGTCGTGAACTGTGTCGCTGCCATCCTCATGATGCTTCAATGCTCGCCGAGGAGGATGCTGTGGGAGGCATATACCAAGGAGTACTGTCCTTATCGCAGCCGTATACAGATATTCGGTTATATTCAAGGGCGTGAGTGTATTTCTCGCTTCTGTGGTTCCATGTCTAACATTGACAGCTTGGTCTGCTGTTTGCGACTTTGTGCTCGCGTTATACCCAATTTCGTTCCTTGCACGGGTCCACGCTTTCTCGATAGCGACCCGGATTGGCCTCTGCGTACTAATGGGATTTGGCGTCGTGTACTGCACCTCCCCTCTTATCAAATGAGTCAACGCTGACGCAGAATAGGGCAGGGGCATGTACAATAGTAAAAACCGTTCAATTGACTGTTCTGACGAAAATCGAAGATCCGAGCCGTGAGTGGATACTGATCGCTCACGGCGACATGAGAGCTAACAGACATAATAGAACAGATCGGAACAGTCATTGTTTGGAATCAGTGAGTAGCACTCATCTTCTCTATCTCGCCATAGATATAGCTCTAACGACAAAATACAGAACCGAAATGTGGGTCGTATTCATTGTCAGCTGTATACCACCTACGAAAGTGTTCTTCAAGCATGTATATCGCCGAAGTTCTATCCGGCTAGGCTCATTTGTGGACCATATGCGGCCCCGGGAACATGAGACGAAGCAGAATGAGTCGTTGCAATCTAGCTGTTAAGGCACGGTAAATACGAGATTTGGGACTTGGCAATCAGTCGATAGGGAGGACGCTTATTGTACTATATGTATTTGTTATATGAGTATATGATACCATGGCGTTATGGATACATTTAAGAGACCAATTCAACCGAACTATAGTAGCGTGCAGTATAGTTTGGAGTAAAAGTATGTATAAGATTCAAGACTACCTATCAAAAGCATGTTACTCCATGCCTATTGTGTCAGAGATAATCATATGATAGTTCATCAGCACCACACCTCATGCGCAAGCCCATACATATATTTATACTAAATCCACCCTCCTCAGAATAATAAGTCACACCATCCAATCAGTACATACTACAGAAGCGAGCGTCAAATATTTCCCAATCAGTAACTACCACTCCCTCCATCAACACCCGTGACTCAATCCCTACCTATCCAGGTAACATTCACAACATTGAGAATCCGCCCCCAAAATCAAACATCCAGCATACCCAATCAGTCCTAAATCCCCCCAGACCAAACAACTAACTAGTGAAGATCGGAGCCACTCGTGTCTTACTCAGCTCACCTCAGCCATCACACCAAACTAACCAGTTACCTACCTAGCGAACCAGCTAGCTAGCTAGCTAGCTAGCTAACTACGTAGTCAACCCATCTCCCTCTCCCCGTTTCACACTAATTATTGCATTATCCACAAGAACACGATCATAATCCACATTCCACAGAAAGTAAAAGACAAAAATCTATTCGACGGCTCGGCAATTACGTCTAGTAGTACCTACTTTCCATTTTCTCTCATGATTGACATGGCTAGTTAGTTAGTAGTCTACTTACCCGCCTGGCACATGGTTTCTATTTTCGGGGTTATTTCGGCGAAACAAAACAAAACAAAACAAAACATCTTCTAGATTGGGTACCTAACCTACGTATGTATCTTAATTCCATATGAGTTTAAAAACTTACTTATTATAGTCGATCCAGGGGTAAATAGAAGCGGAACGTACGGAATTTGGCTGGGGCTTGGTTGGATCTGCAAAGCATCTTCTTGGCGCGGCGAGGGTCGATAGGGTCGTTATTCGTTGATCGTTTATTATTATTATTTGATTTGATTTTATTTTTTTGGTTGTGATTTTTAATTAGTATTTGGATTGTTTGTTATTGGTACTATTTACTAGTAAATGTAGGGATTTGATATGTTTGATTGAGTACTAGTGGGTTGAACTAGAACTAGGGAGTTTTATTAGTTAGTTGGTTGACCCCTGGTTTAGTTATCGGTATGGAAGTGCGATCATAGTGGTTGTCACTTTAGTAAGTCGTACATAGTAAGTAGTAACTGATAGATCAAGTTCGGTTTAGGATTGTGATGTGGCTAATAAGTAGTAATCCCTACTAGTAACACTCCTTAGAGTAAAGTTGAAGTGCCAGATCGAAATGACATGCGTTGCGTTGTGGCACAGTAGGAATGTGACCAGCATTAGCAGTAGCTCAAAATATATATCCCGCGCACGCATAACTACTACTTAATGGGTGCGAGATGACTAACTTACTCCATAGTATTATTACTCAGGTACACTTACACTGACACCGGAGAATTAAATTCGTATCTTTTTATTCATCACTAAAATCTATGTACGAAATACACACACGAAAAAACTACAACTAATCAATCAAACTTTGTACTAAAGTATCAGATCAGCCAAGGCAGTCGGTCCAATGTCTCACTCCAAACCGTTCGCAGTGGAACTTTGGAAATGCAGTCCCGGCCGGAGAAACACACAAGTCGGAAAAAGAGCGAAAGATCGAATGGAATGAATTGGCTGTGCGGCATATCTAGTCTAGTCTACTAAACTTACCCCACCACGCAATCGTCCAGAAACCCAACCACACATCCCCACAATAGTAGAGAGGGGACCAAAGGGCAGGAAAGAAGAAAAATGAAAACATTATGATGATGATGAAATCGTGCGTATGTTAGATTGGATCACTAATTGGTTAGTTAGTTTTAGTTTAGTTGGTTATCTACGTACGTAGTAGTCTCTACCAAGTAACTAGGCGTTTAAAGTAATCAAGCCGAGGTGGAGGGAGAAACAGACAGACAGACAGAGAGGGGTTATTTTGCATCTTGTCCAGTTAAACTAATCGATTGGAAAACGCGCGACGCTTGGACATTTTACATTTTGCATTTGACATTTCATGGTCCGGTGAGTTTTTTCATTTCATTACACACATCAATGATCTCTTTGGTTGGAGCCTGGCGCATCTCTCGCATCTTTCCTCTTTCCAGTCATATCGGTGCATGCTGTGTGGTGGTGGGCTTTGACCATGTTCCAGACACGTCAAAAGTCTAGACTTACGTATCTTTGCTGGCTGGCTAACTAGCTACTATCTACTAGTATGGGTTCTATACATCACATCAACCGAGCGCTTGGTCGCTCCAGTTGGGTGGTCCGTGATGCAGGGTAGATTGGATGGGTTGGTCGGTCATGCATGTTGGTACCTACAGGCTGGTTCATACGTGCGTCGCTGATCTTGGAGGGCACGGTTTGCCGCCGTTGTCTGCTTGGCATTAGTGCTTTGCTCTGGTTGGGTTGGCTGGGATTGCCTTTCTGGTCGTGGTGGAAAACAGCCTTTTATTTTTATTAGTTTTGATCGAGTCTAGTCTCTGCCTGCAGGTGGTAGGACCCAAACGAGGCAAGGCTGGCTGCGATAAGGCGCACGATGTGGTGGTGGCGGGTCAGGACTGTCTGCTGATAGGGAAACCGAGCAATTTGGAATGGGATTGGCGATGTCATGATCGTACGGCGCTTCTTGCTGGAGGCTCATTAGCACCCCGAAAGTGGATGGCGTAACTCTCTCAGCCGCTCATTCCTGGCGCTTAAAGCTCGCGTACGTCCAAGACATGTGGGTTGGCGTGGAGAGCAGCTTTAGTCCAGGAGACAAAGAGGGGTCGAATGGGTAGGTCAGTTGGAGCTGAACGGCGGCCGGCAAAAGGTGGTCATTCGATTGGAGGGGGTTTGGTATGAGTCGAGAGGAAAAGGCTTCTTACTCTAATAAAAAAAAAAGGAAACTAGTGAAGCCCGGTCAGGGAGCCAGCAGATCATGCGATCGTGGAAGTGTGTTTCTCACCCCCCTCCCATCCCTTCCTTCCTTCGCTTCCCTTCTTATCCCGGTAGACTATGACCACCCCTGCAAGCCTTAGTAGTTAGTTAATGGTGAGAAATCCCGATCAGATTGGTAGTAATTTGGGAGGCAAGGTAGCAGTGCTAACTTGGTTTAAGGTGTTACCTCAACCATGTGGCCGGCTACCCACCTCGAACGGCTCCCATCTCGGCCACATGCGGAATCCTAGCAGGATCAATAAAAGTGCCACAGCACGTGGAGTTTATGACCCGATCGCCGGATCCTGGCTAGCCTGGCAGTCAAAAAGAGCGTTTAAAAGCAGTAATTGTAATTGAGAGCCTCCCTGATGCTGGTGATGGGATGCAGGCGTATCGCCGGGTGCTCCCCAACGGGGAGCGCTGCGTGGTCCCCGGCCAGGAGGGAGCAAATTCCCCAACGACAGCTGGCTGCGGCGGTACGTCGAAGCGCTGGACTGTGCACAGTTCCCTCCCTGTCTCCGCACGACATCCACGAGGGGATCAGGCACCGTGAAGAGCGGAAAAGATCCCAGGCGCTTCGGATGGCGGTCGCCGAGAACGGGCCCCATAATTCAATGACGCTGTTGCCGGCCTGCCAACCAACCAGTCCAAGTGTCAACCGCCAGTGCCCATGGCTTTCCTCCGGTGGAGCAAGGCAGCGAAGCTAAACGGACGGAGGAAATTGGTCAATAGGATTCATGTCCTTGGTCGTAAACGGAGATTCCTCGTGACAACTAGGGGATTTTATTGGACTTTTTTTCTTTTTCTATTTATTTTAATTTTTTTTGTCTTAATTTTTCTGTCTCCTCCCTTCTGGTTCTCCATCAGCGCGATATTTGGAGGGGCGAGTTAATTTATTTGACCTTGGGTTTAGACTCATTTCAGCAAATATTGCTCATTTGCTCAGCCCTTCTCCCCATAAGGAGGACGGGAATTTGGCAAGGTGGATCAATGGCAGTGCCTTCGAGGAGGATTTGTTCGGTTACTCGAGCGTCTGGCGAGCGGGCGGTTAATCCAATTTACATCCACTGCCTCCCGTGAGAGAGCGAGGTTCTTGATCCTGGCCGATCATTTCCGTGGCGGTCAAGGCAATCACAGGATCGGACAATCGGGCGCTCGCCATGCTCCGGACTCTGAGGGGCGCAAATAAACGTGTCACGTAACTGGTAATTGGTAGCCTGCTTAGGGCCGGTCCACGGGTCTGAGTCTGACCGTGTCGGCCAAAGCGCCTCCCTTAGCAGTTAGCAGCAACCTTGACCTCATTGTGAGCGGCCTAGCACCTTCGGACCACCGTTTCACCGTTGGCTGCTTTCAGGACAGGCAATATTTGCGATCCTCCGGATCTTACAGCCCCGGCCACATTCGAAGAATAAATGGTGAGCTTTCTGGTCCTTCTGTGTCCCTGCATCTGCTCGCACCCAATCTGCTGGTCCCTCTCGCTCCTCGATCATTCCAACCCACATCAGGGAAGAATGATGGGGAAAAAGAAACAGGCCCGTAGTAAGAAAGGCTGATACCTGGGGTCTAGAATACCGCATGGATGTGATAATAGCCAGAGAGTATTTATGGGGATTACAGCGATCCTCTGGAGTTGACAGGAGGATCCGTGAGCTTGCAGCGATGCGCCAAGCTGTCGTCACAGAAAGTAACCTTTCGAAACGAAACCTGTCGATCTCCCCAGCGCATTGCGTTTGAGCATTGTCAGAATATAGTACGAAGGATGTATCCAATCATCCCTTCCACGGCGTATGGGAAAAACGGTAAGTGGGCATATGCTCTGCTGGGGGGGCGGCGCATCACTGTGTCTAAGGGGGGGCCATCTGGCGGAATAATCCAGAAAGACCCTTTTTCTTTTCTTCCGCCTGATTCTAGTTAG